TTATAGACAATCAAAGGAAATTACTTTTTACTATAGTTAATGATTTCAGCTAGAATTATAAGTAGCAAATTTTGCATCTCTTCAAAGTTAACGATGGTGTTAAGAGAATTATGTAACGTTTTTGTAAAAAAATGTCTTCAGTGGTGCGGGTCACAACGAAGAAACTTTAAGATAAAGATATATTCCTACAAAACAATGTTACCTCCAAATCACCTTTCACATCGTCCTGGGTATGACGATAAACTACATTCGGCAGCAAGGCCTCTGATCGGGAAATTGAAGGAAATATTTTTACAGGCAAAAAATCATTGAAAATTATTTTAATACAGAAACAAATCATTGGAAATTATTTTACTCTATAATACATAAATTATTTTAGGATATAAATTCATCAGGAATTATTCTAATAATAGCGGCTAATGCAAATGTTGATATTAAGGGTAGGATTTAGTAGAAACGTTAAATATTTTTATCAATCTAATCATAGCAAATACGGCGATACAGTTAATAATGAAATAAGGTAGAGAAACCATAGAAAATAATTGGAAATCATTTTGCTATAGAAATCCTTGAAATCATTTTGCTATAGAAATCCTTGAAATTATTTTGCTGTAGTAGATCAAAGGAAATTATTTTACTTTTGAGAATCACTTGAAATCATTTTCTAAAGAAAAGCGAGGACTAAATATCGGTTGTAAAATAAACAGATTCTTGTCAGCAAAATGGACAGTCCAACGTACGAATTACGAATTACGGACGCCAAAATCAAGCAAGTACAAAAATCTAAATATATAGGAAATGTTTTAACAGGAGACATTAAATGCGACACCGAAACCCGAACTTACATTGGGATGGCGGAAGTTGCTAAGCAAAGTCTTGAGAAACAGCTAGAAACAAAGACAAGAGTACTGAACTGTTATGCAATGTCTGTTCACATATATGACAGTGAATGCTGGACAACCTCATCACAGATGAAGAAGAGACTTGAGGCAACAGAAATATGATTTTACAAAAGGATGCTGCGAATACTAGACGTGTGAGCAAAGACGAAGTTTTAGGGAAAATAGAAGCAAAAGGGACACTTAGCATAAAAAAGAGACTTGAAAGTCCTAGGTCACATAATTAGGAAGGAGCGCTTGAAATATTTGATAGTCACAAGACATTGAAGGCAAGAAGGACGCAGGAAAATGCAATACCTAAACCCTTATGTGCAATGGAATATTGAAAGATGCCTTCCAAAATCTAAAATAAAAAATTATGTTAAACATAGAGGAAGATTTTGTTAGGAAGAGAGAAAGAGAGTTGAACTGTTGTGTAAGATCTATCCTGCAGTCATTGCTAGACAATTTCCTCACAGATGAAGATGACTTGAGACAACAGAGATGTGATTCTTCAGAAGGATGCTGAGTATAGCATAGACGGAATATTTGAGCAACGGAGACGTTTTAACAGAAATGTGAGCAAAATGGATGCTTGTGCTTCAGATAAGGAAACGATAGGCTTGGAGAATTTGACATTCACAAGACGTATTGAAGGCAAGACGAACCAGAGAGAAACAGCGAGTAACCTACCAAGCTTTTGTAAATGAATGGCAAAACATGAACTGGTCGTGGGGATCGTAAGTGAACTGACATTGCGAAGAGCTACGAACGATAGGAAATAGTGGATGGTCACGATTGATCATGTCAGGTTAAAGAAGAAGAAGAAGAAGAAGAAGAAGAAGAAGAAGCAAGATTGAAGCCTGACCATGTTTTATAGTTTTTATTCAATTAGTTAATGAGTCTGCTTTGCTTATATACTAGCAAAACATTTTTATATCTAAAATCATAATGACTAAAATTTCTTATCCTGCCGAAAATGTCATTGAGTTGCGTCCGTTTGGAAAAAAAAATGTCCAGCAAACGGAAGGTAAAAGCTGACCAATAAAAAAGAACGCGGTAAGTAATGATCATGGCGTTGCTGTCGAGGAAGCAGACGACATTTACGATTAACTTTTTATAATACAATATTCGCATCCTTTTGGTAAAGAACAATTTTTGCATTTTCTCTTTTTTAATCATCGTTTTTCTTGGTATAAAATTATTTCTTATTCTTTTTCTTCATCATCGTGGTCTTCTTCATTGTCGTCTTTTTCTTCGTTGTGCTATTCTTCGTCTTTGTCTTCTTTTTCCTCTTCTTCTTCATCGTCGTCGTATCCTTTTTCTCTTTCTTCTTCGTCGTCGTCATAGTATTCTTCTTTTTCTTCATCGTCGTCTTTCTCTTCGTCCTCGTCGTCTTTAACTTCTGCATAGTCGCCGTCGTCGTGATCGTAATCGTCATCATCATCATTGTCGTCGTGGTCTTCTTTTTCTTCTTCATCGTCATCGTCGTCGTCGTTGTCTTCTTCTTCATCATCATCATCATCATCATCATCATCATCGTTGTCGTCTTCGTTTGCTTATTCTTCATCGTCGTCCACGTCATAGTATTCTTTTTCTTCATCGTCGACTTCCTCTTCGTCGTTGTCGTCATCTTCTTTTACTTCTTCATCGTCGTCGTCGTCGCCATCGTCGTCGTTGCCATTTTCGTCGTCATCTACTTCTTCGTCTTCTTCATCATAGTCGTTGTCGTCTTCTTTTTCTTCATCTTCTTCTTCTTCATCCTTGTCGTCGTCTTCTTTTGCGTCTTCTTCTTTGTCGTCGTCTTCCTTTTTGTCTTCTTTTCTTCTTCATTTTCTTATTCTTTTACTTCTTTATAGTCGTCACATTCTTTTTCGTCGTCTTCTTCTTCATCTTCTACTTCGTCGTCGTCTTTTTATCTTCTTCATTTTATTCATAGTTGTCGCCATCTTCTTGTTTTACTTCGTCATCATCATCGTCTTTTTCTTCTTATTATTATTCTTTTTCTTCTTTTTCATCGTCGTCGTCTTCTTCTTCTTCATCTTCTTCTTCTTCCTCCAACTTTTCCTTCTCCTTACATTTCTTGAGAAGGACCATTTGTCAATTCATTTCAGTTTGGAAATATGCAAGAAAATATTTTAAAACAAAAAAAAAAAAAATCCACAGAATCGTTTTGCTTCCAGAAGGATTTTCTGGATTTCCATTTTCCCCGTGAGATAAACACTTGTTTCTCCGGGTAAACAAAAAATGTTTTAGATTCACTGAAACACATGCAAAAATATTCCCTAAAATGCATACACATTTTTAAAGTAGAAAACCAAGATTTACCCGAACGAAACTGTTGTTCATGATGACGGTCGTCTTTGAGTATAGAATCTAGAGGTTAGCAGTGAATATTTCAAAGACAGTAGGGAAGCGTAGTTCAGGTTAGCAGTGGATATTTCGAAGGCAGTAGGGAAGCGTATTTCAGGTTAGCAGTGGATATCCCGGTAAAAGTATCAGAGCGTAGTTCGTCCTTCTGTTCCTCTTCGCATGACAAGCTGGCACTGGACATTCGAGTAAACAAAATGGCCGCCTTTATCCACGACGGATTGAATATTCTACGTCTTCTGATTGGTTAACCTTCTATTGGTGGACTATAAAGTGAGTCAAGTCATTTGGGTTGGCTCACTAGTCTAATGTATCCAAAAATTGTAACAGAAACTGCATATGATAGCATAAAAGATGCACTAACATTTTACACAGACTCCAAATTTCCGTAGGAATGGGGAATTAAGGAGAAACTTTTCTTATTGTATTTAATCTTGTAAGGTTTAAAGCAACCTGTCAAGGCCTTACAAAATATTATTAAAAAATCGTTAACTGGACCAGAAAATATTACTGTACATAAAATGATAGCTAGCAGTAGAGCTGGATATGATAATTAATTCTTCGGCCGCTTTGTATGATGGGCATATTATTGTGGCCTCCATGATATGCTTCCCAGGCAGTGTTTTACCATTACCAGGCAGTGTTTTACCATTACCATTACCAGGCAGTGTTTTACCATTACTGGTATTTCCTTCCAGTTACATTTCTTTCTTCTGTAATTCCCAGCTGCTTGATAGGATGTGATGAGGCATATTTACGTATTTACCTAATTTGGACTGTTATCCTCATCTTCACAACGTTTGCGCCGTTGTATGCTCCGTCCTTCTTCAGGTGATAGGAATTTCGAACCGGGTTAGATTGTTCTCAAAGACACATGGCCCAGTGGATAAATACGTTGGTTAGATCCAGTGACTAGACCCAAAGAGTTGTGAGTTCAATACCAGGCCACAGCAGAGGTGAACCAAAAAAAAAAAAAAACTTGGAGAGTTGAGTTAAAGGGAAATAACTGAGGCATCCGGAAGAGGCATGGCACGTGGAACTAGAACAATCTACCCCAGTAGACAAAATAAAGGGTTCAGTTCGAAATTCCCTGGAGAAGGCCGGAACGTAGAACAGCCGAAACGTTGTGAATGAAGATGAGGGTAAAAGTCCGAATAATGTAAGTAATCATAATACCAAATCTCAGACATATAGACAGAATTTACAACTTGTGTAAATGGTTGGCAGAACAGAGTTTAAAAAAGATAGCAAAAATACGTAGATAAGATTTACTAAAAGCAAACAAAGAGCAAGAAAACGTGGAGAGCTGTGAGTGTTGATATCCTAAAAGAAACCGTCACGTAAATGGTGCGAGCATGATTGGTTGCCGAGATATTTGTTTATATGTAATTTTCGTTTTGGGGAACCCAGTGTATCATCACAGGCGATGAAAAGAGGGTTGTATACAACAATGTTTAACGTAAAAGTCAGTGGATTGACAAGGATATATTTCTATAACTGAACACAAAACTTGAGCTTCATAGTAGAAATGTAACGTTGTGTTTTTAGTCATATCGTCAGGGTATTACATATTTAGTGATCTTAAAACGTAATGAAACACTAAATGCACATTTGTGCGTTCAGGAGCTGCGAAGTGGCTGTAAAAAAGGCACCTTGCACTTGTCAGTAGGAAAAATATTTCTTCCATAACAAGCCCACATACCAGCAAATTTAACGAAAGAAAAAATTAAAACTCGGTTAGTTTGTTCTAAC